GGACTGTGACAACCTACCAGTTAATCACACTGAATGGATGGCTCACTTGACTGGAAACTGAATACAGTGGCTTTTTTCACCCTGAAGTATTAAACTCAGCCTAGATCTAGGGCAACGGAAAGATGTTACCTTCGGAAACGTTGGTATCCAATTCCTTCCTGATACTGTTGCGAGCTGCATTCTTCTTGGCACTCTGACCAGGGCAAAGATCAGAGTGACATGCAGTCTTCCATTTCACCTCCCCTCAATGTACCCTGGGGGTGGGGGACCCAGGTGAGAAGCGTGGGATGATATTATTGTCTGGTTTGTGCTTAGGACACACTGAGCGTTGTTAACCAAGCCTGCTCCACAAACATCAGTTGTTTAAAGAACTACAAAGGATGAGGACGTGGGCACGTTCCCAACTAAAGAATGGTTTGTTACCAATTAACCAGGCTCAAAAAAATCCCAGACAAGGAAAAGACAGAGCTATGGAGACAGTAAAAAGATCAGCAGTGATAGCCAGGGGTGGGGGTCGGGGGACAGGATGAACTGGCAGAGCACAGAGGGTTTTTAGGGCAGTGACACTACTCTGTATGGTACTATAATGGTGGATACATGTCATCACGCATTTGTCCAAACCCATAGGATGTACAACACAAAGGGTGAACTCTGTGTAAACTACGAACTTTGGGTGATAATGATGTGTCAAAGCAGGTTCATTGACTGTAACAGTTGTACCACTCTGGTGGGGGATGTGGATAATAGGGCTAGCTATGCATGCGGTAGGGCAGCAAGTGTATGGAAAATCTCTGTGCCTTCTCTTCAGTTTTGCTATAAACCTAAAACTGCTCTAAAAATATAAAAGTCTTAAAAAAAAAAAAATCCCAGACAACTAATCCTGGAATTCTCCACTCCCCTATAATGGTTTAAAAAGAAAAAAAGTCTGTTGGAAAACACTCCCCAGAAGAGAAAAATTTTGTCAGTTTCTTGTTCCTTTCATCTCTTACCAAGCAATGCCAGAAAGCACCATTCTCTTAACACTTAACAAAAAACAAACCTTAAGATGTCTATAAAGCTTGAAATTGACAGGAAATACCCAAGGAAACTCCCCTCAGAGATTGCAGTAATCTATCTTTCTGTGCCCTAGAGTGTGCTGAGGGAAGGAGCAATCCCAGGACTTAGTCAGGCATTACAGTCTGAAATTTCTGGTCTTTATTTGTCCATCATTCGGCCCGATTGCAAAACATTTTCTCTGGAATTTCTTAAGAAAAGTGAGCAGTAATTTTTACTTTATTGTGACACTCTGAATTTAAACAAAAGACAATGACACTAAACACTTAAAACTCAAACTCATCCCTTTGAGATACATCTAATACGAACTTCAGCCAAGGCTCTGCAAGAGGCTAACATCAGACACTACCCAGCTCTTGTTCAACTGCCTGAAATTTCCTTCCACGAAATGTGGACTACATAGAAAAGAGGGGAAAGGAGATAGAAAATGTTTTAACTGGAACACGCTGTGCAAGTCTGAGACTTTCTATTAGGAGAGGATGACACTTGTGACTATATTTCATATGCATCAGGAACTTCCTGTCTTTTGTTTGTCTCCAAATCGTCCTACATTTACCTTGAAAAGTTTTCCTAGACAACCTCCGAAGTTAAACAAACGTTCTGCCAAATAAGAAACAAGTATCTTCAAAACTGCATCTTTCAACACACCACAGAAGAACCGTGCCCCTCTCTCCACTTACCTGGGAAAGCGTGTGGATTGGGCGACCCTCTCTTAAGGCACTTAGAACAGAGAATGTGCACAGTGTAGTGCAGTCCAGGCCATTCCTGAAGTAGGACATTCAGTTCCTCCACCAAGGGGGTTATGGCTTGCCACGCGGTCCATATATTTGGTAATGAAGCATGGCTGGCAATGGACAGGGTGTCTGGCTGCAGGACCCCCTTGGCAGGTCTGTAACTCACCACCACAGGAACCTTCCCTCTGTAAGCAAAGATCTGAAATTTACCATCCGACCTGTGCACCACGTGGCTGTTGATCTGGACACTGTAGCGTGCAAACAACCCCGGTGGAAAGGTAAAGGGGAAGCTGTATTCGATCTGCAACTGCTCAGCCACAAAAGACTGCCCGGCCAGGTTGGTCCCGTTAATCCAGGCCTCTGCATGGGGCACCTCGTTCTGCACATAGCATGGGAATTTGTACCAGGCGGTGGACCCATTCAAAGGCTTGCCCTTGGGTTTATTGAGGCAGTAACAGAGTCCCATCTTTTCCAGCAGTTCCAGGAGCAGCTGCAAGTCCTGCTGGGCCTGGACATGAGGCTTAAGCAGCAACCGAATGACATGGGCTGGCAAGAGCCCATGCAGCAGAAAGCCCTCCACATAATGATGGAGCTGGGTGGCCCGGAGCAGGTCCTGGCTAGGGGTGGACAGCGCCATGGTGGTCGAGCTTTCCCCCTCTCCCTCGCCCTCTCCACTGGTCCCTAGGAGCAGCTTATGCAGCAGCAAGGAAGCATCCCTCTGGAAAAAGACATTGAGGATGTCGATGAGGCGGGTGAGGTTGTGGAAGACGTGCTCCTTGAGGGCCGGGCTGTCCTCAAAGTAGAGCAGCTTGCCGCTCTCATGCAGGTAGGAAAGGGCGCTTTGCAGCCGGTCCTCGGTCAGACCCGCCTGCAGGCCCAGGCGCGCGGAGTCCCACCAGCTTAGCCAAAGTCGCTGTGCCTGAGGTGGCTGGAAATGCAGTTCTTCCAACACCTGCCAGGATCGAGGCAGTACTCGATGCAAGTTGGGGAAGATCTCTCGGTGCTCTGCTACCGAGAGCAGCTTGTCCCGCAGGCGCTGCAACTGGCGGGGGTCCCTGCAGCTAACAGGCAACACCGGGGAGAGGATCTGCAGCCGGTGGTTGAGCAGGTATTGAAAATGGGCCTTGCGCCGCCGAAGGTTCTTGTCTGAGACGCCGTAGTAGGCCGCGTGGGGGCTGGCCGAGCGCAGCTCGAAGTCCCGGGCCAGCGCCTCGTCCACCACCCGGGCCAGGCGGCTCAGCCCCTCGGCGTCGTGCTTCTCCTGCAGGGCGATCTGGCGGTGAATGTCCAGACACTTCTCCTCCAGCTCTCGCTCCCCGCACAGGTCTGTGTGCGTGCCCACGATGCACACCACGGCGTGGGGCACCCGCGCCCCCACCCGACGCAAGAAGGAGCCCACGGCGCTGGGAAAGCGGCGTGGCTCATAGGTGGCCAAGTTGACCACCAGCACATACAGGGCCCCTGGGGAGAGGAAGAAGGGCTGGATCACCTCGTAACTTTCATCACCAGCTAAGTCGTACACGATGAACCGCAGGCCCCGGGAGGCATCAGCCGTCCAGCTGGTCACTTCGATGCCTTTGCTCACAGGCGCAGGTGAAGGTGGGAAGCTCTGCTCCTTGTCCCCTGCTCCTTGGCCGCCCTCCACTCTGTCCTCAGTGAGGCAGTGGCGGAGCAAGGTCTTTCCTGCAGCCTTATGGCCCATCAGGAGCAGCTTGAGGCGGGGCTGCACGGCCGGCTGGGAGTGGGCCAGCTCCTTCTGGTAGGCCGCGATGTAGGGGATCCCCTTCATACAGACCTCGTAGGGGGGCTGGATCAGTGGGTTGTCCTTGATCTTCCACAAGCCCACCCGGGAGAGCTGGCCGAAGTTGTCGGGCAGCACGGCGATCTGGTTCCCTTGCAGCACGAGCTCCTCCAGGCCGGTCAGCTCCACGATGGAGTCCGGCAGGTAGCGGATGCGGTTGTTATCCAGCCACAGGGTGAGGAGCCGGCCCAGGCCCGCGATGAGGGATGGCACCGAGGTGAGCTGGTTGCGGCTAAGGTAGAGCTCCTCCAGGCCAGCCAGGGGAAGCAGCGCGGCAGGGAACTCCTCAAAGAGGTTGGAGGAGAGATTGAGCATTTTGAGCCGCTGCAGGCGGCTGAACTGGGCGGGCAGAGCCTGCAGCCCGTTGTTGTCGAGCATGAGGCTCTCCAAACTGGCCAGCTCGCAGAAGCCGGCGGGCAGCGTGCCAAGCTCGGCCCCGCTCAGCCAGAGGATCTTGAGGGCACTCAGGGCACTGATATCCTCAGGTAGGCCCCGCAGCCGGTTACTGGACACGTCCAGCTCCTCCAGGGCCGGCAGCTGCAGCAGCTGCCGGGGGAAGGCAGTAAGCTGGTTGTGGTCCACGTCGAGGGTGCGCAGGCGGGAGAGGCAGGAGAGGGAGTCGGGCAGGTGCGCCAGCCGGTTGAAGCTGACGTCCAGCTCCTCCAGGTGGGCGAGGGCGCCCAGCTGGGCGGGCAGGGCGGGCAGCTGGTTGTGGCTGAGGTTGAGCTTGCGCAGCTCCCTCAGGGCACTCACCACCTCCGCGCCCAGGGCGATCAGCCGGTTGTGGCTGAGGTTGAGCTTGCGCAGCTCCCTCAGGGCACTCACCACCTCCGCGCCCAGGGCGATCAGCCGGTTGTGGCTGACGTCCAGCTCGGTGAGGTGGTGGCCGAGCTCGGCCACCGCCGGGGGCAGCCGGGCGAAGCGGTTCCTGCGCAGGATCAGGACGCGCAGGCTGCCCAGCGCGGACCCCAGCCCGTCGGGCACCTCCTCCAGTCCGTTGTTCCCCAGGTTCAGCACCTCAATGTCCCCGATGTTGGCCGGCAGCACGAGCAGAGGGGCATCGGGGGACTCGAGCGGGTCGGCTCCGGCCCCAGGGCAACCCCCGGCCGCGCTGAGCGTGAGCTGGCGCAGGTTGCTCCGCAGCTTCCTGGCTCGCAGGGCGGCGTCCCGCCACAGCCTCACCGTCTTCAGGTTGCCACTGTCCTTCCCTGCCATGGCGGGGCCCCGGGCCGACACCGTCGCACGGGCGCGGGAGCCCGCAGCTACATGCCGCCCTGCCCGGGCCGGCGCCCGGCTCCCGGGCCCTCTCGCTCCCGCGCCTGCCCGCCCACCAGCCCTCCGGCGGCCGCGGGTCCTAGCGCAGCCGGCGGCCGGGCGCCCGCAGCTGGGGGGCGGCGGCGGCGACGCGAGCGGCTCTGGGGGGCGCCGAGCGCGCGGCGCGGGGGGAGGCGGCGGCCGGCGCGGGGTGCAGCTCGCATGCTCCCTCCTCGCGGGCCATGGGCGCGCCGCGCCGCGGAGGATGCTGCTCCTCCTCCCGCTCCGCCCGCCTCGGCGCCCGACTCCGGCCCCGCTACCCTCGCAGCCGCGGCCCCGCGGCTGGCAGCGTCATCGCTCCCGCGAGCTCCGGGAGGAGGGCGGCGCGGAGCCCGGCGGCGGGCATGCTGCGGGCGCAAGGCCGGGGCGCGGCCGCGGGGAGGGGGCGGCGGCGCCTCCTTGTCTCCGCTTCCCGGGGCTCGGGCGGGAGCGCGAGCGCCGCGTCCCCGGCGCTGGGAGGGCGCGATCGGGAAGCGGCAGCGCCGCCCGCCCGAGCGGCCACCACGTGACCGGCGGAGGCGCCGCGTGTTCCCGGCACCGCCCCGGAGGCGGGGGCTGCGGGAGGACGCGGTGCGGGGCCCGGGCACCGGGCCGGGTGCGGGCCGCGGCGTGGACCGCGGGGGACCAGCGGGCCGCCCGCCCTCGGTGTCTATCCGGGGCTCCGGGGCTCTCGGGGTTGGGTCGCCTGCGCCTGGCCCTTTGTCGGTCCCGGGTCTCTAAGGATTTTTTTCCGCCTTCCCTAACGTGCCGGATCCACTAGCTTCCCTTCGTCACCCTTTTTACCCGTCTCTCTGCCTACATCCACACTGGCATGGAACTGGCAGAATTCGGGGCCTGGGTGTCATCCTAGGAGCTTAGGACGGGAGTGTGGATGAACAAAGGAGAATGGCAGGCGACCATTCATTCATTTGGTAAATATTCATGGAGGCCCTATTTTGTACCAGACCTACCAGAACAGACGCTTTCAGCCCCCCTGGGGAAAGGCTTTGAGCAGGCACCTCGCCAGCCTAATGAGGTGGGGGCAACGCAAGGTGTTTTATCTGGGCCGTCCCATTTATCGTCAAAACAACCCCATGGAACAAATACCACACGCCCAATAGCACAGTACCTGTTGCTCCGTGGATTCAAGAAAAGGGCAGCTGTTTCAGCCAAAATTCACAGCCCAGTGCTCAAGTTTAAGGCTTATTTTTCCTCCCGCTGTGAGTAAAAGTTTCTTTGAGGCCACACCTACACAAAGTCCTTAATATCTTCCGAATTCAGGAAAGCCTGGAAACCTATCAAGACTCTGATGTCATCTCCATCATTGCCTCCAGGTTGGTTGTGAAGGAAGCAAATAGTTTTCAGGGACCCAGGACTGAATTTAATCGGTTCAAATTGCCCGCGGTACCCCCGCCTATCCACCATCCCTCCCAGAGATAGTCAGAATTTTACAAGAAATATTTTAAGTTATCTAGGTTGACGTTAGGAGAAAACGGGCTCGAACATAAGCGGCTTCCCAGTCGTCCAGCAAGGTGAGGAGTAGAGCCAGGTCTGCTAACTCCCCACGTGGAGTTTATTCCCCTAAGTGCATCACCCTGATTCACAGCTGTTCCCAATTCCTCCATCCTTCAGCTCCTTCTAACACAAACCTGACCCCGGCCTGGGTAGGAGACCAGAGAAGGCATCAGCTCCCTACTCCACCTTAGATGGTTAAGCTGAAGTCCTAAAGTGGTTTGATTTACATCTAAATAACATGCACTAAACCATTCCCTTTTAGAAGCCATCGGAAAATTATACTTCCATTTTAAATGTCTTTTGAAAACCATACTCTTCCTTTGTCAGGAGATAATCTGTAATTTGCTTTATCTGATAAAAAAAAAAAAAAGAACTGAAGGCTAGGGCCTCTCAGCCCACACTCAAGCCCAAAAGCCAGGTGCAAATGAGTTGGCTGGGCAGGAACAATTTTTTCTGCTGGGTACGTGCTAGAGTGGTCAACATAGTAGGAAGCCTTGTCCCTGAGTTCTTTGAAAGTCACTGTGCTAAAAACTAGACAGTCAAATCAGGACAACTCAATGATGAAATAAAACTCCAGGAAAAGAAGTTGTGTTCAGTATGGCTCTTAAACCCAGGCAAGAAAAACTCTTGCCTTGGGCACCCAATCTGACCCCCTTCTTGCCGTGCCAAATCCCTGTGGCTAAGTTTCTGAAGGGCCCCCTCCACCTTCTAGAACACGCTTGGTGTAAAGGACCCTGAATTCTCAGTGCAAACAGCGTCAAGCCTTATTGGAGAGTGTGGGGAAGTCTTTCATAGTCATTCAAAAGGAATTGCTGTTGTGCACATCCCTAGGCCTGGCAGGTGTGCACGAAGCTCAGCCTTATCTGTGTGCCCACACAGCTCCTCTCTGTGTTGGGCGGAAGCCAGGTTAGGCTGAGAAGGGGTGTGGGTGTGCCACATTTGTTAGCCTGATGTAGCACATTTAAATATTTAGTCATGTAGCATATGGGCCTCTCTTTGTACCCTTGCTCCAGACCCTTCAAAGGATAGGGGTGGCCCTGCAAATAGTAAGGTTTTCCTAAAATCAATCAATCAATCAATCAATCAATCACAGTTTGGAGAAGAAGGACTCTAAATAGTGGAAGTTTCCTTGCCTTAGATATTTATTCAACGTCATGGACCTAATCTGTAAACTTTCCAAAACCTTTTCGATTTAGGCTTTTTAATTTATCCTGTCTTTCTTATTTTTACTTGGACTGTTTTCTCTTTAGCTGTTACCTTATGATGTCAATAACATTCCATGGACACTGGCTTTCTCCCAGAGTCCTGACCCTCTGCAAGGGCACAGAGTTGTTTAGGGGAGCAGAAAAGTGCATGGGAAAAGGCTGTGTCTTGAGCTAGGCTTAAATGTGTGACTGGGTAGAGGGAAGGATCTGGATAAATGGATAAATGTCTCGGCATATAAGTATCTACCAGGAACAGTCTGAACACAGGGGGCAGAGGTTTGCTCTTACCCCTTGCTAACACTAACAACAAGCCCCACATAAGCATTCATCCCTGGTTTCTTTTGCTCTGTCTTTAACATTCTCAACTTCCCTCCATCTTGACAGATTTCTCTCTTGACCATGCTAACCTAGCTACTGTCTCATTGCCTTACTTCCTTTCCCTGACAGATATCTTACAGAAGTGGTCTAAGGCTGGGCTTGTTCCCCCCACCCGCCTACACCATCGCTCCTTGGGCCCAGGAATTCTGTTTCCATCCCACCCTGCCATCAGCCTTGACCTTCCATTGTTGGAAGTGTTAAACAACTTCCTTTGGAAACTTTCTCTTTTCTTGGCCCATAGGATGTTTGGTGTCACTTCAAGGTTTGCTTTTCAAAAAGAGCCCTATAAAGGCTAATTATTCCCTTCTAGGGATCAAGTTTGCCATTAGGATAAGTGCTACCAAATGAACCACTACAACTACATGGCAAACTGGCCATGATTTGCCTAGATAGGGACGGCTTCTTAAGAGAGCATTTAGTCATTATGCGTTTTCTACTTATATTTATATTATTATATTTCTATTAAAGATGCACAGTTTATAAAAATCATATGAGTATCTTTTTCCACTGAACTTTAATTTTATCAATCACAACTTAATCAAGACTTTATTTTAAGGTGACCCAATGTCCCAATGTGCACATCACTGAGGGGTTTCCCAGGTAGTAGACAGTTTGTGCTGAACACCAGGGCAATCCTAGGAAACTAGTAGTTAGTTAACCTACTTGATCTTTAAAAGGAGCCCTTTATCTTGCTCTCTCTTTAGCCTTGAGCAGTTCAGAAAGCACAACTTCCAGAAAACATGGCATTTTTACTTGCTTCAGCTGCTTCAGGCTTTCAAAATAGTTCTGATTTCATTTACTTAGCTGTTCCCTAACTCAGAGGATAGGACATTCATGGGCTGGAGGTTCTAACTAACTTTGGAGTGTGGAAACTACCTATCTGGTCTTATGAGAAAATTTGGCGATCTCTTAACCCTTCCATGCAAATGAGCCCCAGGGCTGGGCTACCACAGTTCATGAGAAAATGAGCTTAGTTCTCTCCTTGAAGTCTGGGGATGCTGAGCAGTGTGCTACCTTTATCATCAAACAGGAGAAAAGGCTTCCCATAGTTCTCCTTTCTTGTAATTTTAGCCAGGCTTTTGCTTTAAATAAACAATTATAACAATGTTTCCTCCTATCTGGCTAAAGGTGACTAAATCTCACTTTTGTGATTTTAATTAGGCCACATCCTTCTTGGCTTGGCTTTGTAGGAGATAAAAGTAGAGGAAATCAAGGGAAAAACAGAAAGAGGAAGAGGAAGAGATGTGCCTCTAAAAGGTGTTAGGGTGGTCCAAAGAAGGGGATTAGAAATAAAGCCTTAAAAATTGACATTGAACAGTTTCGCCAAAGAGAGTCTTGGAGGTCATGTCATCTGAACCTCTGATACCGCATATCACTCACTGAGGTATCCAAGAATAATCACCAGTCATAACAGCTAACATGCATGAAAGCTTTTCTATGCACCCAACCCAGGCACTGTGCGTGTGCTTCTCATGCAGTATTTCCTCTCATCTTCACAACAGCCCTGAGTAGTAGGTTCTATTGTTACCCTCATTTTACACATGGAGAAAAATGAAGGCAGAGCTATTGAGTAGCAAAATCCACTCAAGACAGAATGCAAAACTCATGTAGTTAATCACGGTGCTGATTCTGGGAGTTGGGGGATGGGTCAGGAGGATGGAGGGGAATGGTTCTTAGTTTACTGAGAGCAGATTGTGTATTTTAAGTTGTGGAGAAAAGGTACCAGCTGGAGGCAGGGCTAACACCCAATCTTCAGTGGAAATTGAACTGTACTCTTACGAAATTAAAGAATGGCATATGGGGCAATCAAAAGCTCTGAACAAACGGTATCCCCAAACTACAAAAATTGGGCTTAATATCTGTTATTAAATGTCACTGCAGGAAACCAACAGAATTTCTATGAGAGTTGTAGATCAGTTGTGTTTGATTTGTCAGTTTTAGACAGAAGGGG